TCATGCTGTTGATCACGGGGTTGTCTGGTCCAGACTCGATTATTTACAGACCGCCGCCATATAGCTTGAATATTGCTGGGTGCGGCGTAAAACTAAACTCACTCACTCACTTGTACAGACGTAAATATATGCGACAACAAAGTTCCAGAATCATAAGAAATAATCTCTTCATGCATACATTGTACCTCGTTAACCGGAAGCTATTTACATTTGCAAGAAACCTTGGTGAATTATGCGACTTGAAGCTGGGTGGTATGGAATCCAAGAACGGACATTGTCGCGTTGTCGCCCTCACAAAAACAAGCAAAAAAGTGGCCAAAGGAACTACTGCATGTACTAAGGGCGAAAATGAAACACCTCGAATATCTGAGGGGGAAAAATGTAGTTACGCGTATATGTGTTCTAACTCGATGCTGTCCACTCGGTAGATAGCCGGACTTCTGTATGTCGACATTTAGGCCTAAATCCTTAACATGGACACCTATACCTGTACTGGACCGGCTCTCGTCATTTACCTTTCTTCAGAGTGAGTGAGTGAGTGCTTGAGTGTGTGCGTGCATGCATGTAGTTTTACGTGGCTCGTATTCCAGCAACATCACCAGAAAATGGGATCCGTACATTGTACCCATGTGGGAAATCGAATCCGAGTTTGGCGTGACGAGCGAACGCTTTAACCACTAGGCTACCCCACCGCCCATAACGCCTCTCTATTGTGAATAACTATTAACCATTGTGAATCTTAACAATGTATTTAACACGTATAAATGTTTTAAAGAGTTCAATCAAATTAGCCGGGACTGCCAGTTCGCTGCTCGAGCCAGGTCGCCTTTAAATGTATCATACTCACTGCTTGGCTCCAGATTGCGGAGGTCTGAATAATTGATCAGCTAAGGAAGAGAGGCGATAAAGAGATTTGTCTTTGGGTGGAAATGAGATTTACATTAATGATGTGCACGGAGGATATCAAACAATACTAAACAAACGACCAGGCACAGCTATATGCTCCTTTACCCCGAGTTGGTCTAAACAAGTTCAAAAATATATCTTAGTAAAATAAAACAAGTTACGCGTATTCTGTCGAAGGTCGTTCCATTGTAAACTATCTCTAATTATCATTTACCAAAATGTGATTTCTAAGTGGTCGTAGAAAAAGTGTTATTGGTGAGTGAGTGAGTTTAGTTTTACGCCGCACTCAGCAATATTCCAGCTATATGGCGGCGGTCTGTTTATAATCGAGTCTGGACCTGGCAATCCAGTGATCAACAGCATGAGCATCGATTTGCGCAACTGAGAACCGATGACATGTGTCAACCAAGTCAGCGAGCCTGATCACCCGATCCCGTTAGTCGCCTCTTACGACAAGCATGGGTTACTGAAGGTTCATTCTAACCCGGACCTTCGCGGGTTGTTATTGGTAGGCGTTCACATTCAAATTTGTATTACTTGGAATGCATAAAGAGAAAGGCAACACCATGTACCAGCTTCGGCGACATGTTTATTGTTGTTCTAACAAGAACATTTAATGCTATCTTTTTATGAAATCAAAAAGCCATTATCATATTAAATGTGAGGGTACGAATTATCATACTACAATTACAAAATCAAACTTTTTAACTGAAAATCGGTTGGGGGAGTAGACTAAAATAACGCGTTCGATAGTCTTGTCAAAGATCCGAGGTCGAATTCCTACACTGAATACAAGGTGGAAAGCCCTTTCAGATTTCCCGTGCCCTGGTATTACGAAAGGCGCATCATATTAATGCTTATCTGTAATCATAATTTTAATCGTAGTGAGGCAACTGAGCAAGGATTTGCTATAAACAATGTAATGATTTTACAGCTTCGATATGCCTCATTCCCCACATGGGGGGAATGTGTGAACACCCTTTACGGTGTCCCCCCGCCGTGATATTGCGGGAATATTGCTAAAGCGGCGTAAAACTAAACACACTCACTCACTCGCAATGTAAAGAGGAAACAAAATATTCCCGTTGTAATTCCGGTGCATCCTAGATCCAAATCCATTTTATTATTGCTGGTTCGGAGAAATCATTTCATTTGACTTATAGCTGGTTCTTAGAACTATTTGACGCATTTTGCTATTGTAACATCGTGTCCCTGTGTTGAGGTTCGATCCTGACAGACATATCCACTTTGTTACCTACTCTATTGGCGACTGACATCAAGTGGTATTGTAGGATACAAGATACAAGTTACTTATATGAGATATCAGATAAAGGTTTTCCTGATCCTGAAGATTTTCAAACCGGCAAATGGCTTTTATATTTCGTTAACTGCTATTTAACTTTTGGATGGCCAAAGCTGTATTTCGTTTTGATAAAGAGTAATATCTATAGTTCAGTTCGATCATTTTACAGCGTCTTTTGCATAGAATGAGTGTGTCAGTATCGTTTTACGACGCTTTTAGCAATATTCCAGCAATATCACGACAGGGGACACCAGAAAAGGGCTTCACACATTGTACCCATGTGGGGATTCGAACCCGGGTCTTCGGCGTGACGAGCGGAGGTTTTAACCACTAGGCTACCCCACCAACCTTTTTTGCATGTCATGTCATCGTATCCCAATTGCGTAGGTCGATGTTCATGCTGTTGATCACTGGATTGTCTGGTCCAGACTCGATTATTTACAGACCGCCGCCATATAGCTGGAATATTGCTAAGTGCGGCGTAAAACTAAACTCATTCACTCAGTCATTCACCTTTTTGCATGGAAACCGATATTGATCTTAAACACAACGCATATTTTCATATATTATTCCATTCTATTTTTCCGATGAGAATGAATATACGAACGTAATCTCAACTCAATTAAACATACGTATTGCAATCTATGAGTTTGGGCAGATATATCAAATGACGATTGCGTTTACCCCACAGCTCCTTTGGTCTGAAGTAAACAGCGGGATGATGAACATCTTGTGTGGTTAGTGAGGCAGATATGTCGTGCTGATAATCTCAACCCTCATTTTAATGGACCATGAGGGGAATAAGGTTTATCGTGTACATTATGTAGGAAGGAGAGCAATTTCCTTCACATCACATAGTGAAATAAAAAATTATATGTTCTTTTGATGATAGACCTAGTCCATCATGCACTCTTTGAGAAAGTAAACAAGCTGTTTCGTGCGGTGGGCTTCGATTTACTGTATGTTTGAAGGCTGAAATATTAATACTGAGGGCGAAGAAGCACGCTTGGTTTGTACTTTAAAGACAATTGTAAGGGACTTCTAGTTAATCAATATGTTATTTCGCTTTCGCTAAAACGGAGGTTCAGCCTTCGGTTGTTTCGAAAATTAAGATTTAAAGATTTAAAGCCGTTATTTTGATTATATCAAGACAAATTAGCTTGTTGTGTGAGGAAGAACAAAATTAATGTGAGTGAGTGAGTTTACTCCGCACTTAGCAATATTCCAGCTATATGGCAGCGGTCTGTAAATAATCGAGTCTGGACCAGACAATCCAGTGATGAACAGCATGAGCATCGATCTACGCAATTTGGATCCGATGACATGTGTCAACCAAGCCAGAGAGCCTGACCATCCGATCCCGTTAGTCGCCTGTTACAAGCATGGATTAATGAAGATCAATTTTAACCCGGATCTTCTCGGGTGCCCAGAATAATGTAGATACGATTGTCACGTTGGAGTGTAGAGGCATATTGCTGAAACATCCAGGAACATCATCCAGAAACTGAGTCTCATTAACCAATTCAGACAATGACCTACTTTCCAGCGGATCCGAATGAAAAGAGACACTACAAACAACTATGGTTACACGAAATTCCAATTCCTTGTTTCATAAGAAAATGGTATTTGCAATTGAATTTTAATTTTAAACTTAAAAAAAATAGTATTTCTCTATTTTAGGACGAGGTTTAGGCAGCGTGTCGTTAACTAAGACGTCACAGATTGCCCCTGTTTGAAGAGGTCGTACAATTATTCATAATTCATCTGGCTCACTGGTTACACGTGTTATGTGTTATTTTTTTAACGTACAATGTGATTGATATAATATCAAGTCCGTACCAGACCGCCAAACATTTCTAGCGTCCGAGCCTCGTTTTGAGATTTCCAGATTTCCTTTTGTCAGAGCACAGAGCACTCTGCACGACGTGTTTGCAAGGATAGGAAGGAGCGTAGTGTTGCAATATACAAGTGATTAGATGTATCAAATAATACTGATTAATATTTATATATATCCAGTTGAATGAGTTGGTCTCAAAATTCTGACTGGTTATTGTACTTAGTTGCGCAGTATGACGGAACCCAGTCAGCAAGAAACGAGACTGTTGTGTAATCAATGTTTTGACTTGCATCCTGGGCCTTTGGCGTGACGAGCAACGCTTTATACCACTAGGCTAACCTCACCGCCACTACTACGTCTTAGAAGGATTGGCTAACGGCGCTCCTTTAGATATTACAGCGTCTATTTATTCTATAAGCAATCCTAACACCTTGTGTTCAGCGGTCGACTTACACCCGCGTGTCTCTTCGCCTGCTACTATGGGTATCAGAGGGTCACAATCGCCGCTCTGATTGGGCAGTATGGATGAACAACCACTAGTAATAACAACTCACGTATGTGATTGGTTGACTGCAAAATCGACAATGTATATCGATTTTATACTATCGATTACTGCTCTTATAACTTGATCTGTCTGTACATGTCTACTTTTGAGTATATCCCATTCATACGAAAGGCCGTAGTGTTGCTGCTCAAATATTTACAGATAGATTAATATGACGACTCTCAGAAATGCATTATCCCATACATTTTTGTGTGGCATTTCTGACGAGTAATGTTTATTGATCTAGAAATATTTAAGCAACAACATAAAGGTTTGTGATTTATACCCTGACCTATTTATATAGATTATTTTAGTGACATTTAACATTTATCTATGTAACTATTTTCAGTGTCAATGCACACTCAAATGATGATTGCCATAACTTCATTCTTCTTCCTTCCTTCTTTCAGGTCATTGCACTAATCTCCGTCGTGTTCGTCCTTCTGTCCATCTCGGTTTTCTGCATGGAGACTCATATAATATTCCGGCACCCCCGGAACAGTTCGGCGGCGGCAGGGACAACTGTACGAGAAACTCAACGCTTAACACGTCCCTTGATATTCTTGGATGTCATTGAATACACGTGTATCACCTATTTTACCATAGAAATAATCATTCGCTTTCTGTTTTGCCCCAGCAAACTTTCACATTTGAAACACGCTTTAAACTGGGTGGATTTTACGTCAGTAATTCCTTTTTATACAAAGATTATTGTGGTGGCCATAGACCCATCTTTAGAAGATTCAACTGGATTGTATTTTCTTAATTCGTTACGATTAATTAGAATTTTTAGAATTTTAAAATTGACTCGACATGTGAGCGGCTTGAAAATTTTAGCTCAGACAATCAAAGCCAGTGCAAAGGAACTTCTCCTGTTGATTTTAGTTCTGGGTATCGGAGTTTTGATATTTTCCTGTTTAATATTCTATGCCGAGCAAGTTGAGGAATCTTCGAAAAATGACTTCCGGGATATTCCAATAGCGTTTTGGTGGGCTGTGGTAACCATGACGACACTTGGATACGGTGATATATACCCAAGGACGGGGCTTGGTTACATCGTTGGTGCTATATGCGCACTTTGTGGTCTGCTCATGTTGGCACTTCCGGTTCCGGTGATTGTGAACAACTTCACCCTGTACTATTCCCATGCTCAAGCTAGGATGAAGCTCCCGAAGAAGACCAAGAACTTTCTAGTAGGAGCAGCCGACGCCCTCAAGCAACACGACTCTCGCGTCAGTCTCGAGAGCGGTGAGAGCAACCCTGAGCGTTCTTCAAGCTCGGATATTCTCAAGAACCTTCATGAGAAGGTGGACCGAAAGGGCAGCAATAACAGCCAAGAAAGCGCCGACAGCGGGATAAAAACAGGTAAATATTTACACAAGAAGTTATTCTCAGACCCAGGAGGGTGTGAGATGGGTGGAAGGTAGAAAAAGTTCGCACTCCTCTATTTCAAGTATCACCACGATGACGTACCATACATTGAACCACATCATTAAGTGGCATGTTAACACAGGCAATTGTTTTAACCATCCCTATTACATGTATAAAATTCACCTACAAAAACGTTTCTCCCCACGATCGAGCCATTTTTCTCCCTCAAAAGCTGCTCTTTGCAGTTTACTAGTATTAGCTATGATAAGTTACGGATCTTTCTAATTCCGAGACACGTGAAGATCCGGGTTAGAATTGGTTTAAGTAACCCATGTTTGTCGTAAGAGACGACTAACGGAGTCGGGTGGACGGGCACGTTGACTTGGCTGACAAATATCATCATTTTCCTAATTGCACAGATCGATGCTCATGCTCTTGGTCACTGGATTGTCTGGTCCAGGCTCGATTATTTACAGAGCGTCACCATATAGCTTCAAGATTGATGACAAACACACAAATCTAATTCCGATGCTTGTGTTTCCCTCAAGCACAGAGTGACATCTCAGGTGAAGGATTGTGTAAATAAAACGACACTAAACGTCAATGGCATCTTATTCACTGCCAAGTGCAGATATGACATACTGTTGTGTATTCCTAACACCATGCGTCTATAAAGAGTGTCTAAGGAGATGCATAGGCAATTCCTTAGCTACAACGAACGGTTGTGAAACAAACAGTTCAATTAGAACTATTCACATACCACAAATATAGCTCGGAAACTACCGGGCTAAAGAAAGTTCTCGCCAGTGTTAGATGGTGGCTAAAAATAGAACAGGCAAGAATTGGTGAACTTTCGGTCATCCTGGTTGTGTTTTGGTGGTTGTTTTTAGCCAAGTAGTATTTTGGAAACGTTTTTAAATTTGGCGTCCTATACTTACTTTTGCCCTTGAGTATACATGAACGTCATAAAGATGCGTAGTACTTTTTAAAAAAATAAAACACATACGAAAATGCATACGGCAGCTTCATACGACAAAACACTTCGGAGATGTACGAAACCCCACCCCTCATCCTGACCCAGTCTGACAGTCAACAGTATGAAAACTCTATTTTGACTAAAAAAACAAAAACAAAAACAAACAAACAAAAAAAACCACACACACCATTGTATACCTGATGCAATAACATTAATTCAATTCATCGTGTTCACTGTGCCTCAAACAAAAAGCTGCCTATCTCATAGTTTATAAATTTGCTTTTCAAACTACGAATTAAAAATTCATCACGACCTTTTTAACTGAACGTGTTACCAGAGTTTTCCAACACGAATAGGGACAATGAAACCATAAAGCGGAAGTTGCTTTCATAGATCTCAGATAGTTTCTCATAATTAATGGTTAATATCCAATGCAGTGATATTATGTCTGACGTCACGGGATATTATTAAAGACGAGGAAGACAAGGTGATACTAAGCCATATCGTCATTACGTATGTGTGGCCTACAGATCTTACGAGAGCAGAATGTTATATATTCTGAAGTGATTCTGACATCAGTTAGACATTCTCAGAACGACGTCACAGTAAATTCACTGTGATGACGAGAACAATAATGACGTCATTTATTTTTAACAATGCTTTCACAATTGACTTGCCTTTGCATGTGTGTGTGACAAATGCCACCGGAAAAGCAGGATACGCTCGGTTTTTAACAAAACACCTGGTATCATTCTGATATGACGATACAGTAAAATCGTCGAATGAGTTCTGCTTTTAGCACTTCTTATGATTTGCTTCTATTTATTTATATTGGTTCTGACACGAGTCAACTCTCAATGTTAAGTCGGATACTTCATACTAGAAGCATTAAAATTCTTGTAAAGAACTTCGACCTTAGGAGTTAATGTTATTTAACTGACGACGGAACGAACTTGATTGTGTGATTACAGACGCTGTCAGTGTGGATCAGTAAATGAAACACTGAGAGAGGTTAAACTTGTGCATGTGCGCGTGTGTGTGCGTGCTTGTGTGCGTGTGTGTCTTTCGCTTATATAAGTGTAACACCTGCAATATATTATTCTTGGCACCATCTTAATATTCAGGTATTTCTTCCCAGTCACAGTTTGATCAGAACTAAAGTGATTCACTCGCTCAAGTCAACATGATGTTTCTTATGGTTATGGAGAGTGTTGTGCCGCTTATCGTGATGCCAATTGCAATTTAATTCTAATATGTGTTTCGTACATTCATTATACGACAGTTGCAAATATAAAATCAACATTTTACATTGTAAATAAAGGTGACTGTATGATGCTGTCTGATTGTTAAATGGGATTAGATCCTGGGAAACTGGGCGTTATTCATAGCCTATGAATACTTTTCTTGATGAGTACGTTTCTTTCTCAGTCCCAAATTTGTATAAAACCCGTATATTCGGCTTGAAGAAATAGTTACCTCGTACAATAAATATTCCGTTTGATCGACATTTATCAGAGCAACTTCAATTTAGTTTCCACCCCCATCCTCTGCATATTCCGCTGAACAAGCAGGTTATCACGGAAGCGTGGTTTAACTCTATGACTTGTGACGTAGCTCATGGAGCTCATTATAGCTCATGGAATTTCAGAGTGGCGCCATGTCTGTTTAATAATCTCAGAGTATTATTTTACACTATGCAACCTGCAAAACATATATTTATCTCCTGAATAAGTTCCTAGAAGTAGGAGAATTTTTCAAATAAAATATCTTGAATATTGTATTGAATCATGACATCAACCATGATGTTAGGAGATAGCGTAGCTATTATGACGTCATAGTCGTTACAACACGTGTACTTCATGCTCATATTCTCTCATCCACGTCAAGCCATATTGAGTTAAACTGAACCGTCGAATTTATTAAGGTCTGTTTCACAAATAATCAATAATTTTCTAAATAGGCTTGAACTAGCCCATCAGCATGGCCCAACAGTCATACAACCCGAGTATATTTATGAATATAGATAAATTAATCGATTTCATGAATATTATCATGAGCGGTGGCTTTCATTTCTGCCACAGGTGTTAGAAAGAACGAGGTTTCAATTAGATTTAACACTGCGGCATATTTTGTCAAACGAGGTCATTACAAAGACCTGCTTGGTGCTAATGGGCCAAGGTTAGAACATACCATAAACACAGGAAGGCTGTTGGGTGGGTGGGGTGTGGGCCTGATGGGGGTGGGTGAGTGGGTTGTGCTCGGCGAACACGGCAATGTGGCTAGCTGCTCATAATATCATCCACTGGTTTGTCTTGCCGAATATATAGATTATTTACAGTTCTTTGTTAGATTGCTACATTGATGAAAGTAGAACAGCACACTAGTAGTCTAAGCTCTTAATTCGGTTTTCGGACCTGCAACCTGATTTTGAGTAAACTTGACATGGGTCAGACTTAGATAATGATAGTGATGATGACGGTGGAGATAGTGATGATGACGGTGGAGATAGTGATGTTGAGGTGAACTGTAGTTTGAGATTACTACGTTGTATAAGCAACGCACGCGTTCGTGTGTGTGTGTGCGCGTGTGCGTGCGTGCGCGCGCAGTGGGGTAGCCTAGTGGTTAAAGCGTTGGCTCGTCACGCCGAAGACCCGGGTTCGAGTCCCCATATGGGTACAAGGTGTAAAGCCTATTTCTGGAGGGCCCCCCAGTGATATTGCTAGAATATTGCTAAAAGTGGCGTAAAACCATACTCACTCATTCCTGGAATACCTTATTGACGTGCACGTTAACAATGTCAATCAGGACCCAGGATTAGGAGTTTTCAGGTTTTTTTTGTTTGGTTGTTCGTTTGGTTGGTTGCTGTTTACCACCGCAATATTCCAGCTATATGGCGGCGGTCTGTAAATAATGGACCAGACAATCCAGTGATCAACAGCATTAGCATCGATCTGCGATGACATGTGTCAACCACGTCAGCGAGCCTGACCACCCGATAAAGTTAGTCGAGTCTTATGACAAGCATGGGTTGCTGAAGACGAATTCCAACCCGGATCTTCACGGGTGAGGTGTTTTTGTACCAACCGGAAGTTATATTTGAAATGGAAAGGAAAGCAGTTGTACATTTGATCACACGTCAGTTTTCATCCAAATTAAGCAACTAATTTCTTGTCAGATTTACAAATGTCTTTGATTGAACGATGAAAAACGCTTTGAATGAGACATAAATGATTATTATGCCACAAATACTTTTCTTTGAGAAATAAAACCCCGAAACCAAAATACCTTACATTTAACAGACATCGAATTCAGGAACTATTGTACTGTTATTTACTATATTGAACGGAGCGGTTGGGTAGCCTTATGGTGGCTCATTCGGGCCATCGCTTTATCGCCCTGAAAAATCTAGGCGATATTGCGACAAAGCGATAGCACGACACGATATTGCGATATGGCGACACGATATAGCGATATTGCGATACAGCCCAAAAAACGAAATAGCGATAACACGACACGATATGGCGATAGCAAGACACGATATAGCGATAGCAAGACACGACATTGCGATAACACGACACGAAATGGCGATAACACGACACGAAATGGCGATAACACGACACGAAATGGCGAAACAGCGATATTGCGATATAGCGATACGGCGATAATGCGATATAAACAGGCGACACGGCGATAGTGCGACATAACGATATGACGATATAGCGATACTGCGATAAAGCGAAATTGCGATAATGCGAAATGGTTAAGCGACATGGCGAAACAGCGATACTGCGATATGGCGATAAAGCGATATATTCATCTTTATATGAGTTTGTGTGTATGTGGTATGTACTTATGTGTATTTGTGTGATGCGTCCATGTTGTATTTGAATTAGTCTCGTATTAGTTTAAGTGAGAAAGCAAAAACTTTCTAGGGATTTCACGTAATGATAATATTCGGTGTATGCAAATGGATTTTATGCAATAGTAATCTTCTATGCATGCCCATCATAAATATGGT